TTTCAGTTCTTATAAATATAAACCCAGATGCAAAAGAAAGCATCCTCGTGCTTTCTGTCTGATTGTGGCAGCCCAGATTGAAGGGGAGAGGAAAGGGAAGATTTGTTGCAACTCAGAAGTAACCTTGTGAACAGTAAATAATAGCCTGCTTTACTCCAAAGAGTTCGAGTTTACAAGGAAAGTATTAGCAAATTATTCCCTTCCCTCTACCCTTGCCTTCTGATTGATTCCACTTTTAAAAGCATAAGGTCAAGTCTAATTAAACACAAGCCAAAAAAATTTATAGATCTATGTATATAGATAAATAAATACATATACATTCACACACATACATATACATATACTCCATTCTAGTTAACAGGCTGTGCAAAAGCAAGCATAGGCCAGATCTGGCCCAAGTGCCAGAGTTTGCCAGCCCCTCATCTAGTCAGCCCCTTAACTTCCTCCTCTCACCTCACCCCACAGAAAGAGGGGACTGCGACTCAGCTCCACGTCAGTGTGGGTCCCTCAGGGGTCAGAGATGGGCTTTCAGGATGTCTAGTTGAGATTGAGAAATGTTTACCGAACACCTAAGTGCCAGACGCTATGAGTCCCTTTTGCAGACTTTTAGTATTTATTTCAGTGTACACGACAAGTCCGTGAGGCAGGTAATCAGGCTACTTCATGGATGAAGAGACAGGTCAACTGACTTGCCCAAAGTCACACAGCCAGGAAGTGACAAAGCAGCCAGCACAGGTTTCCAGAATCAAGCGTAGCTCTCTGTCCACCACCCACAGCCACCCATCCCACCATCAGCCACAAAGCAGAGCCTACATTCCAGAGGTTGTGGAGGCCAAGGGGTGTCAGAGCAAAGGCCAGGCAGGGCAAAAGGTGATCTGCATCCATGAACAGTAGTCTAGCTGCATCAGAATCACTGGGGGTGCTTGTTAAAATACACACTGCCAGGCCCTACCCTCTGAGTTTTTGGCTCAGATGAGAGAGGCCTGAGAATTTGCATTTCTACCACGTCTCCAGGTTATATGAAGGCTGCTAGCTGGTTCAGCGCGCAAAGCACACTGATCATCACTGATATATTATGAATACTCAAAAGCATCTTCATTCTGGGAAACCATCCATTTCTGCAAATTTCTTCCCCCTCTAAAAGAAAGTTTTTATAACATGTTTCAATTGTATAGTCTTTTAGCAGGCTGCCTGTCACATTTCTGCCACTCCCTTATGGACAATTCCCAGATACTTATCTTCTCTTCCCAACCACATAGCTGGGAAATTTACAGGACTTGAGTTTTACATTAGTGCAACATACTGGCTTATGTGACCAAGGGCAAGTTGTTAGTCACCCTAGACTTCACTCTCCTCATCTGTGAAAGAGAATCCTTGCCCTATGCACACCTCACAGGGCTGCTGAACATACCGGAGGTCAGGTCTGCGACGTGTTCTAAAAGTGACCATTTTTAACACTCACTGGTGCCTGCTTCCAGATCCCTGGCCCTGAGACTTCCTCACACCCACAGGCCTCAAACACTAGGTGACACAATGACAAGGGTTCTCCTTCCTCCCCTGTGTCCGTCACTCTTACTGTCTCATCTTCCTGTTATTCCCAGTCCAGCTTTGTCAAGTCATCCTATCAAAATTATTAGATTTACACACACTAAGTATCAATAGGTTCTGAGTGAGAGGCAAGCAATAAAGGATGTGAACTCTGCACATGGATGGGGGAGCACATTATTTTGCCCCCTCTCTGGTTCTCAGTTGGGTTGGTTCTATTCTGGTGACACCAGCAAATAGATATTTTGTGGAAAGTCGCAAGGAGTTTGTTCCTCCAAATCCCCAGGTACCATAGAGGGCCTGCCATCGTGGCATCGGACTGCCTAGTTTGAGTCCTAGCTTGTCACTGCACATCCTGCAGCAAGTGACTTAGCCCCACCTGTGAAGTGAGGTCATATCTATCCCCGGAGTCATGAGGACTGTGTGGAAGTACCTGGCATAAAGCATGTGCTTCAGTAAGGGCAGAATCCAAAGTGTAAAAAAAAAATTTCCCTAGACAAAGAAATCAGAGTGGTTAACTACTGCCATTTGATAAATTGCTTTAAGAGCATCTTTGGAGATCAACCCACTTTTTCTTCTCATTCCAAGTCGTTAAAACTGTTCTCTTATCTTGTCCCACAAAAGGCAGTTCCCAGGACCTCTCTGAACATTCTTCTCTTCCTTATTTAAAAGCGCTGCGTTTCGGACATTTCATCATCATCCATCTGTTACCCAGTCTTCTGAACCCTCAAGGTTGGTAGCAGCCCAGGGCCACTTGTGTGTCTGAGCGCGGCAGGTGAAAGAAAGTTTACATAATCATTAATGATTGACTCTTAGGGAGAATGTCAAAGTGCTCCTTCAATAAAAGTTACCAAGGCGGAGGAGGGCCTTGGCAAGCTGGGTCCTGAATGGGTTCTGCAGCCCTGGAGAGACTGAGCCTTTCCATGGGAAACTTCATTTTGCCTTATCTTTCCTTCCATCTGTTCTTTATATACAATCTTTCCTGGCCTGCGGCCACAGCTTCCTCACGTTTCCCCTGATCTCATTCTGTGCAGAGTCCATGCCGGTCTGTTGGAAGGCTGTCTTGCTGATGCTTCGTGGGATCTTGGGATACTTTCCATTGAGTCAGATCTGTGTGTTCTGGTCGAGCATCCAAGAGTCAGAGGAGAAGTGTGGAAAGTGGGTCTGAGAGCGCTCTACGTCTTGTTTAATTTCTATTCATGCTGTGTGGTGAGGAATTTATCCTCACCCGCAAGGAAGTCTGGCCTTTGCTCTCTAGCTTCCGGGAGTTAATCCCTAAGCCACTGGAATGCCATCCTGAGAGGACCGTCTTTGTGCCACACCACTAATGTGATTGAGGGTGGGCGGTCTGAGCTCAAGCTCCTAGTGGACTGGGGAGTGAGATGAGCCCTTTGGGCAGGAATAACAACTCATGTAATAGAGCCCCAGTAAAAACTCTGGACACAACAGCTTGGATGACCTTCCTGGTTGGCACCATCCTGGGCATGTGGTCACACAGCGATGCTGGGAGCTAACTCCCAGGAGAGGACCATGACAACCCCAGGCTTCTTCCCCGGACTCCACGTTGTGTACTTCTTCTTCTAGCTGATTTTAATCTGAATCCTCTCCTTGTAATAAGCTGTAACTAAGCATAACAGCTTTCAGTGAGTTCCTTGAGTCCTTCTCGCTGAGGGTGGTTTTGGGAACCCCTGGACCTTGCAGTTGGTGTCATAGTGAGGGTCTTCTCTTGTGGGGACTTTCGCCTCCAACTGCTTCTCATCTGGCCCTTTTTCTCACACATGAACTCATGAAAAAGACTCTTAGTTAATGGGAGTATGGAATGCCTGTTTTAATGCCAATTTTCTTATCTTTTTGCTTTTGCCATTTTTGGAGAGCAAACGTGAGGAAATGAGTTGACTGCAGGTCCAAGAATCTTTACATCCAAAACTAACTTTGCAGTCAAGAATCAGGCATGAAGGACTGGAGTCAACTGGCACCGAATTAACAATGTGTAAAGGTCAAACTGGATTTTGGCTCGTGAGTCAAAACAGAGGGACTGATGGTCTCCGGGCCATACCAGGCAGGAAGCTTGGTGTCACGCCCACCCCCAGGTCAGGCTCCCTGTCTCCTCTTGAGTAAAAGCACCCTGACCTGGGACACAGGTGGAGTCACATCTGAACCGGCAGGGCCAATCCCCAGACCCGGCCAGGCTATGATATCAGGAAA